TGTGTGTGTGTGTGTGTGTGTGTGTGTGTGTGTGTGTACGTATACGTGTGTGCTATATTGGGATGTGCTAAATGAGTTTTAGTACAAGTAAATAAGTTCAATTTTCAGGATGGGATCGCCGTTACGAAGTTTGAATGATTATTTTAGAAGACTCAATGATTTACTATCAGGCGAAAGTTGGGAGTTGTGTGAAGAAGCGGCGAAATTACTTTCGATCGGAGATCCTCATGTACAATTAAAATTTCTACAGGTGAATTTTTAGCTACCAATACTTTTTAAATGTTCCTTTGGTTGATGGTAACAACTGTTCCATGAATTCAAAGTTTTTAATTTTGCGATGAATGGCTATATTTTGTTAGAAGAATTCATAGAAAGTGTACTAGCGATATGAGGGATTAAACATGATGTTGGGATGGTTTTTAGCTAAAGAAAGCAGAAGATGAACGTCGATTGTATTTGAATAGCAGTTTCGATGAGATAGCATGCTTACATCTGGCAATTATCTATTATTTAAGTGAGGAACACTTCGAAAATGCCTTCAATACGCATGTTCAGGTTGACTTAGATTCCGTTTTTCTTTCTCTTTAGCTTTTTAATATTTGAATTGAATAATAAATTTTTGATGTTTTTCACAAACAAAAGCGGAAAGATAATGTAGTGTCTTTGTAAACAAAATTGTGTGTTCTGGATGCCGGCAAAAAAACCTCGATTTGTGTATATGGTTTGACTGGCATAAGGTTGTGTAACTATTACAAAATGTAATTATTATTACAAAGAGAAAAAAAAAATTCTATACACACTGTATAATTGTTTTTCCTTGTTTTTATAGGCTGTACAATTGTTTAATAAAGAAATTTTGCAAAAGGAGAAGGATCAGAACTGGTTTTTACCGATATTATATACTCTCTGCACAGATTTGCGACTTTTGGCTCGTTCGGTAAGTTTTTTACATTTTGTATTAAACAAATGTTCTATGTCACTTTATCAAATTGCTGATATTGAAGTCTGGAATATTTAGGCCGATGAAAAGCCATCTCGGTTACGCGATCCGGAAAAAAGTAGCTTTTATGAACAGTCTGCCACCTACATCATGGAATGTTATCGAACATGTGTTGCTGATGTGTGAGTTTTACCTGTCTGACTTTTACTCTTTATTTTACTATTATTTTCATAGTTAATAATGCTCAGTATGTTGGCCATTGAACTATAAAAAATAAGCGTTCCAAGTATAATTAAAAAATTCCCGCAATTAATAATAGGAACGAAAATTAGAGGAGACAAATCATTTAATCAGTTGAATTCGTTAACAGCGACTTTTGGTGTTTCCATAATATTGTTAATGAAATTAAAGACGTGTCTTTTTTAAAGTTTTTTACAATATTGTCAATTTCAGACGAGCAGAAATTCATACATCGAAGAAAATGGCAATGCTTAATCTTACCAATCAGCTGTTCCGAATTTATTTCAGAGTACGTCGAAATCGATTTTTTCCTTTGAAATTAACTGAATTTTACTTGATTTATATTTTTTGTTTTTTTGCAACTGTTAAGCTATTCTGTGCCTTTTGGTAATCATGTACGTCAAACATGACTATACATTGATGTGGAATGATTTCAGTTCATGCTCTTAAATTGTTCCTTTTAAATTAAAAGGATGGTTAGAATATAGGTCTTTTTCTCAATTTAGCTATTTTTTAGATAAACAAATTGAATCTGCTCAAACCGCTGATTAGAGCAATAGACAACAGTGGTCCGTTATATCAGACATTTTCAATGGCTGATAAAGTTACATATAAGTATTATTTGGGACGTAAAGCAATGTTTGATTCAGATTTATCACTGTGTATGTTTGTTTTTTTTTTTTTGCTTTGGTAGTAGAGAAGAAGTAGATTTTCAAAAACACTCATGAATTTCTATAATTCAAATTTTGGGAAGGCACAGGTAAAGTTTTATATCTCAAGAGTATTGCTATTACTGAATCTGTTCAGCTAGTTATTGACTGTAAGCTTAAATATAAGATTTTATGAAATTAAAATTTTGGTCGTTATAATTTTTCTCAAATGATGCATATTTCAGCAGAAGAATCATTATCCTATGCTTTTCGGAACTGTCCATCTCATTGTGGAAGGAATAAACGGCTTATATTGATTTATTTGGTACCGGTAAAAATGTTTCTTGGTCATATGCCAAGTGTTGACTTATTAAAACGATATCAGTTGCAACAATTCGCCACCGTTGTTGAAAGTGTCAAGTGAGTTTTATAAGTTAACGGTATATGATGTCTTTGAATGTACTGTCTTCCTTTTTTGACAATACTATAAACCGTTTAACCAATCTTTCTTTGCTGTGTTTACGAATTATGATGTTATTTAAGGGATGGAAATTTAAAAAAACTCGATGAAACGTTAATGGAAAATGAACGCTTTTTTGTAGAATGTGGAATATTTCTTATGTTGGAAAAATTGAAAATTATTGCGTTTCGTAATTTGTTTAAAAAAGTGTAAGTATGAGACTATTATTTTTGTTTCCAATTCTATTTAAACTAATATCGTTTTTATTTTTCTTGTAGTTATCAATATCAAAACTTTCAGTTTTAATTAGATGTAAGAAAATGGCATAATAAATTTCAACACCCATTAATAACCTACTTCATTTTATGTAGTACTCGAATATATGGAACAAATCAAATCTCTTACGAGGCATTTATGTGTGCCATTCGATGGCTTGGCATTGAGGACATGGATGAAGATGAGCTAGAATGTATACTTGCAAATTTGATCGTGGATGTGAGTTCCGGCTTATATAGTAACTTTGCTATAACCTTAGTGCTTCGAATGATTCGATTTTTGCGTAGTAATTTTATGCTTCAAGCTTGTTTTGAAGAGAATTTGAGTAGAACAAAATTTTTCTATAGATGGAAAAGTTTTCGTTTTTTGATTTAGATGAATAGTTTGCGGTTACTTGTTAAAAATTTTGCAGAAGATCCGATTTTAATTTTTTCTGATTGTCTACTAGATTAGTCATTTTTGTTTTGCATTTTTTCAGAAAAAAATCAAAGGATACCTCAGTCACATGCATAAAAAACTGGTTATTAGCAAGCAAAATCCATTTCCTGCTCTGTCGTCGATATCCTGATCTTGATTCGAAACTAAAACGGAATAAAGTTTTTCTCATTCATATGCTGTATGCTTTACGGCGGTGCCGAAAAACTTTATAGGTAATCAATAATTTTGGAAAGAAAATATTGTCCAAAGTGTGAATTATCTTTTTAAAAAACCATTGAATTTTACGACTTCTTCTTTTCACAAGCTTAAAAAATCGATTGAAACCTGAAAATTTATTGTGAAGGGAAATTTCGAAAAAAAAAAACCAAATACATTTAGAGTTATGGATTGCGGGCTGTAAAATGTTTCGGAATGTTCCTTTTTCCTTCGAATTAAATCTTTAATTTTGTGGTATTATTATATTTGCTTTATCTTTAATTTCTGCTCATGTTATTTTGTACTGAAGATTGAAATTTGATTCCATTGGCACTTTTTGATGTTTTAATTTGATAACTGATTTGTTTAAAACGTGATGCTATTGTAATGTTGTAGATTATAAACAATTTAACTTATTTTTAATAATAATGAATGTGTAGCACTTGCAGTTTTAGATTTTAGATGTTTTCCTCCGTTGTTGTTGAAATTGTTGGACCTCCAAAATTATGCATCTCAGCACTTTGTTATGTTTTTGATGTATTCAATGTGAATATTTTTGATAAACAAACTTGCATGTAATCATTAAGTTATCCTTTCAGATAGTTATATTGAAGTAATCATTCGAAATAAATGTATGTGAACATTACATATTTTATGTGTTGACAGAAATATTAAAATACGTTCGGAAAATTCTAAGGACTCATTTCTGGTCTTTTTGAAGTCAGGATTTTTTCCCAAATCTTTCAGTAGCAACAGTAATATTTCAAGGCGGACACACTATCCAGTATGTTTATCAAGCTTGTCTTCCATATCTAATCAGCGCATCATAAACATCATTTTACAACGTATGAAGCATAGAGCAGAATTACCTGTTGATATGTAATTATCTGAATTTCGGAAGTCCGCATAATTTGTATGGTCATCGACCGGAATTCCAAATTATCGACGGTAAAAACATTAATTCAAATAATGTGTTTTTCGGGTGAAGTATAATGCAAATGCGCACACTATATTACTTACCGATGTTTAAAAAGCACAGAAAATACCACATATGAAATCAATTATTTTAGTACTTTAAGCATTTTGATGCCCAGATTTTTTTTTTTTTTTGGAATATGTGAGATACGACTTGCTGTCTACTGGAATTATGTTTATAGTTGAACAAATACGATCTCGATTGGCGCATACCTATTAATCCTCTTGCTACATAATGAACCTAAATAATCCAATTAACAGTTTATTTTCAGAGAGAAGTGATATTAGATGCATTTTAGTTTAGCATTTTTTTAAACTGTGTTTTCACACCTTTTAAGAAGAAATATAAGAGTTATCAGGATTCATTACTCATCACTCTGCTTTGCTTCAAAGCAATACAAGAAGCATTTCATCATTATCTGCGCGCTTATGCTTAACAGTGAACACCATGAAAGCCAGTTCAAATCTAATAAAATGCAGAGTTAAAAGTTTTATGAAAACTGAAAAAGTACAAAAAAAGAAATCTCGATGTAATATCTCGACTAAAAACAAAAATTTGAAGACAAATTGCAAACATATTTTAAATCATTAAACTGCATTTTGGTAAAATCAATGCAAGCTGAATTAAAGCCAAATTCGAGAAACAACTGAATTTTCTATTCCTCTTAATTTTATTCTTTGCATTCAAATTAGGGAATTTAAAACATTTTAAAATTTTATCATCTGACCAGCTACTATCGTCCATAAGTGTAGTTTTATAAAAACTTATTAGTACATGACAGATGAAACATAATTATGCTTCGATATTCCACCATATTGGGTAAATCTAACAGTATTCAAAAAAGACCCGTAACTGACGATCTTATGATAATATATTAGCCATATATGGATTTTTCAGTTGCCTCACTGTTAAAATAAACTCTTAGCAATGCTTCAATTACCAAAATGCACTATAAACTATAAATTATCAGATATGTCACAATTATGCATTGTCTCCTTTATCCAAAAGATTTGTCACTTTTTCATCAGGTCGCATCGCTGGGAAGAAAAGCACTTCCTAAAAATATATGTTTTCAGAAAATTTCGAATTCCAGATTCTATTCAAAAACAAAATAACAAACAAAGCTCTCATTTTTCTGTTCACTTCTCATTTCATTCAAGCGTTCTGGATAAACACACTGTGTAAAGTATTATTATAAAGAATTATTTTTAACTTCGATTTAAAATGTTTAAATTTAATTTATTCTCTCAACAGAACCATAAAATGTTTTTTATTACGCTTTAAACTGCAAGACAGATCAAACGCACGTAAATCTTCCATTATTCAAGGACCTAATTTTTTGTCATAAAAGAACTTATTAGTTTGAAAGATAGGAAGTAGAAACAAATTAACATACTTTGATATTGTTACTATCAGTTAGAATCATCGTCAAACGATCAATACCAATACCCCATCCAGCAGTTGGTGGTAAACCATACTCCAATGCGGTACAGAAATTCTCATCAATAATTTGTGCTTCGTCATCACCCGCTTGCTTTTGCTGAAAATAAAGCACCACATTTAAGGAAAACTATTTAAAGAAAACGAACAGTAGTTATCATAACTTGTGTTAAACTCGATACATTTTGACGCTTTCTGCTTAACACTGAGAGCATCACTTGAATATTAAAAACATTTAAATGGTGATAAGATTAATACAACAGACATGGTGTTAGTGACAAAAAAAATTAAAGGAAACAACGAAAAATGGTCATACGAAATTAAAGAAAACCGTCTTCAAAAAAAAATGACCATAAGAAACATAACTTCAAAAAAAACTAACGGAGAGAAAAAAAAAATCAAAAAATGGTTTAAAAAATGGCACCTTTGCTTGCTCTTCGAAACGAAGTCGTTGTGTCAATGGATCATTTAATTCCGTATAAGCATTAACAATTTCTTTTGTGACTACGAACAATTCGAATCTTTCCGTTAGGCCAGGTATCGAACGGTGCCATTTCGCTAATGGTGACATTAGTTGTGGATGTCCAGTGAGGAAAGTTGGCGATATAAATGTTGGCTCCAAAAATTCACCAATTAACTGAAATAATTTTTCATCAATAGAGTAGAAGGAAGCGGAAATGTTTTCCAAATCATCGCCTTACAATAAAGATCTCATTAGAGCTGCAATAGTAAATGAACAGCAGGAAGCATTTTAAGCGGGCATTTTCTTAGATTTGAAACAAACGAACAAGATTACATATTAACTATTAACCTTCACAAAAAAAAAGAACGAGTAGTTAATGTTATTTAAAATAATGCAGTTATGAAACTTGAATAGTACAGAAATGATTAAATCAACTGTCTGACCACAATGAAAGGATTGATATCAATAATCTCGTAATTTTTCAAGCTTCAAGCTTCAAAGCTTCGTAATTTTTCAATATTGTAATCGTTTCATAAAAATCATTCCCCATTTGTATGCCGAACGTGTGTGACACAGAAACTGAAAAGTTTTATGGTACAGGAACCTTATCAAGCAGTCGTGCTGTTGTTCGCGGTGCTGGACATTCGACATTATTTTCAACAGCCAATTTATCAAAAAAATTATTGGCTTCTGAAAACGAAAAAGATTTAAGCAGTAAAGTAAATCAGGAAAATGAAAAAATATAACGAAAGTATAGTTGACACGAAATGATAGTGTGGAAAATATAAAATGAACAAACCATCAGTGTTGAGAGCGTCCGCTGAAGGGAATTGAACACCAAGTTTTTCTTGTAATCCATCATAGATATTTACTCTTCGAAAAGGTGGTGTGAAATCAATCTTAGGAAATAAAGTCATTTTTATGAATCTGATTTTCGCAGTTCTTATATTTGAAAACAAAAATGCAATTTAGTACAAGAATCATGATTTGACAAATTTGAATATAGTTTATTCATCTGATTCAAGTGATAAGAAGTAGCATATAAGCTCATCAAGTAATTTTACTAACTAATTATATAATGGAAGGAAAATGTCAGAGAAAGCTTGCATAAGCTTACTTCATACACGGGATCCTCGCCTACACCATTTGGATGGTACTGAATTTTGTAAGTTCCGTGTAAAAAATGAACCAATTCTGTAAAACAGTGTTAACCTTATTAAAATAAAGCGTGATGCTTGATATAAATGAAGCTTTCTAAGTAACTACGCATTCAAGGATTTCTTAATAGCTACTACAACCAAAAATCGATATGCTTTCAATTAGCTCAAACTGAAGAATTTCTCTATGGCGTTTATATAATAGGGCTCTCCTTTTTACACTGCTTCTGTCCACTTGAGAACAGAAGAATAAATAGTTAAGTGTAAAATAAGTGCATTGCCAAAACTGCAACAATTAATAAAGTATAAAAATTATAAAGGAAATTTTTACTGGAAAGCATATCCTCTGTAATCTTCATTAGGTCTTCATAGTCTGCATAAGCCATGTAAAATTCGCATGATGTAAATTCTGGATTATGAGTCTGGTCAATTCCTTCATTACGGAACACCCGTCCCAATTCATAAACACGGTCAATGCCACCAACCACTAACATCTAAATTTGAATAAGCAAATTTTAGAAGATTTGTGTATGTAATTAAACCGGACAAAAGTCTGCATTAAAAAAAATATTGTATAGACCACTTTAATAAATTTCATAGCTAAGAAAAAAGCAACAACATGAAGTACCTTTAAATATAATTCAGGAGCAACACGCAGGTAAAGATCCATATCGAGTTCATTATGATGTGTGATGAACGGTTTAGCTGTAGCGCCACCAGCAATAAGGTTCATCATGGGTGTTTCAACCTAAAGCACTTGAAGTTATACATCACAGTTATTGTCAACCTATTCCAAAGTACCAAACGTTAACAAAACCGAAATAGTTGTGCAAAAGTGAGTAATTGCGTTACAGAAGAGAAAATTTGTTAAACAGAACTATAAAAGTGAAAAGAATACGATTCCTTTTAATTGACGACACTTACCTCTAAGAAACCTAGATTATCAAGATAACGTCTCAAAAAACTGATTATCCTTGATCGGATTATGAATCTATTCTTGACATCAGGATTCATAATCAAATCAAGATAACGCATCCGATATCTGCAACATATTTGCTGACCATAAACAAATAAATCGAGTACAAACATTTCAAAAAAAAAGTTTTCTAATTAATTTTGAAGCATTACGACAAACTAATGAAAAAAAGGAATAAATTTATAAATTAACCCTAGCTATTCATACTAACAGCATTTTGCACCTACAGTATTTTTGCACTGAATCATATAGTTTCACGGAAAATGTTACAAACTTTACACATACCTCGTTTCTTGATTTTTCAAACCAAAGTGGGTGTGTGGTAACATATGCAAACACGGTGTCAGTTGAACAATCTAAACATATGAACTTGCACGTAATTAAAAAGTGTGTGCAAGGGAAATTGTCTAAGTCGAACAATTCAACTTATTTTTAGTTAGCTTGGATGGAATCAAATTAAATTTATGTGAACGCATAGAAGAACCTCTAATATTTACCTCATATGGTATAATACTAAGTTCACCAGATTTCGACCTTGCTGGATAACCGTTCACACCGATAATATCCCCTCGCTTGATTCGATCGTGAACACTGTCAAATGCCTCATTACCACTGTGAAATCTGTAAATTTTGAGTACAAATTAATTCGTACCATATACAAACCAAGAATATCAACAGTGTTAAACAATCCCACAATTTCAACAATTTCTGGATTTGCAAAACGAACCTAGCATTTGCGAGCACTTGTAGACGTGTTCCTTCTCCATGAAGATCGTAAAAAATTAATTTTCCTCCTGATTCACGTTTTGAAAATATTCGCCCTGAAAACAACATTTAAAAAAGAAAATTAAATGATACAACAAATGAATCAATAAAGAACACTTACCTGCCACACTTTGGACAGTGTCATTCAATATGACATCTTTTTCCAAGTTGTTATATTTGGCAATAAAATCAGTCAAAGATATTGAAACGTGAAATTTATGAGGAAACGGATTAATGCCTTTGCTGCGACGTTCGTCAATCAATGATGCTCGCAATTTGAAATATTCCTAAAACAAACTGAAAATTGCGGAAACCTTTTAAACTAAGAGAACAACAGATAAATTGGATACAAGTTTTTAGACACTGTAAACAATTTTTACAAAAATTATAAAATACATACATCATTGTAACTACGATGATAAAATTAACTGTCTTGTCCTGGTTAACTAATGAAAGTTTGATGAGTTGACAAAAAGAGCGATGTTAGATGAGAATCACAAGAACGTATAAAGCAAAACTTGAAACTGTTAATACTGCTTGCAGCTATGCAATAGATATAATAGCTTATACAGCAGCTTAACAAAAAAAGATCTGCGATTCACCTGTGGATCCGATGGATCGACCATCTTGCTATCTTGCTTGCTTTTTTCCATTGCCGTAGCAGCAGCAGCAGCTCGTTGTAGCTCTTTCTCTGCTTTTTCCTTTAGCTTCTGCTGCGCTTTTAGTTGCCGTTTTTGCTCGCTAAAAATAGAACTGTACATGCAAATGTACATTAAACTGAATAAATCAATGATGAATTATACCTAAATATTGTTACGATGATATTTTCATTATTAATTTCAGCTAATTCCACGAATATTTATTTATTCACCTAAACAATCTCCTACTCTGGTTGGAAATAATTTAATGCACATTCAGCAGTTATATACCTTTCGTATTGTTTCTGCGTGACATTTGACCCACTGATATATCGTGAAAGTATTCGCGATACACTGTGCCATTCTAGTTGAACACGCCGAATAGTATTTGCAATCATTTGTCAAATAGTAAGGATATTATCAGCTGGTGTTATCTTAACAGTACCTTAGTCGCTTTAACTTATGATAGTTCCAAAAACAAAGAATTACTTACTTTTTGCTAAGTTTCTTTTCTTCCATTACTTCATTTCCGGTCATTTCCACCGTTAAATAGTGCTTTCAAATTTTATCGTAAGTATCGATTTTACTGTAATAAACTTCAAATAACAATGATGAAGTAAAAAAAAAAAAAAACGAGATGTTCATACCCGAATGTTCTACCGGTAGATCCTGGAGAAATTTCTACAGTAACAGAAAAGGAAAGTAAAACAATTGGGAACACGTTGCCAACAAACGGAAGACATGACAAATATCTGTCCTCAGTATCAAATGATTATTAGTGATGATATAAAAGAATGAAAATTAGAGAGTAAGAATAATGGGAAATAGTACTCTAATGGATAGCTAGAAAAGTGATATAACAGTAAAAGATGCAACGTTTGAAAAGGCGGCAGAATTCGGTGGAATTTTCTTGAGATTACAAAGAAATGTAGTAATGGAATAGAGAGATAGAGATCGAGTGAATGGAAAAGAACAGGATAAGGAGTGAAGAAGGAGAAATGGTGAAATAGCGTAAAACTATTAGGAGTTACATAGATTGAGAGTATTTTTTTTTTCAGAGAGTCGGAATAGGAGAAGCATTTAAATGTATGCGCTCATATATGAATAATAGTCATTTGAATGAAGGATTGAGTGGAGGAATCAGTGTAATGGACAGAATTTTCATTGGAGATATGAGTAATTCGTATTTAGCACATAATTGAGCTTTTTGTTTCAATTTATGACAATAATTAATTATTGACTTTCTTCATGTATGTATTGTATTAGCAAATAGGATATATTAATAATTTGTTTATCAATGAGATAATTTCATCGCGCAAATTGCATTATTATTGCATTCTTTTTTTGTGTGTGTTTTGATTTATAAATCATTTAAGCATTCAGAAGCTGTTGTTTATGTATGAAAGATATGAGAAATAAGTCTCCCAAATTTTTTTCGTTTTTTATTTTGCAATAGTCTCGAGAAGAGATTGAGAAGATATTTTTTGAATTTACTAATACTGACTAATTGAACAGTTTGAGTGGATTGAAAAGTTTGAGCTTTCCTATTTGAAACGATTAAAGATTAAATGGATAATATGTAATATTGTTATATTTCGACACTAAATTGTGTATTTTTTATAAATATTTTCCTAATATTCAGTTATATTTTTATGGTATTCAGGGAAAGAAAAGTCAATAGCAATATGAAATGTTTAAAAAAGCCAAAAAGTTCAATTATAAATGTACAGATTTGTTTTGTAATTTTCTATAGAATGATTTAGAAATGTTTGCTGGATGCCCATTCAAAATATTGGAACAACCGAAATTCGTATATGATGGAAAGTGGTTGAAAATGCGTGAATTGCGATTTCGTAAATCTGATTCCACACCTGAACAGGTATTACACTGTCTTGATCTCCTGGATAAGGAAATTATATTTTGTAGTAAATGATTGATTACATATTTTCGAATGGAATTTATAAAAAAGCATCGAAAGCTATCGAGAGATAAGACGACATTAGTGTGCATTTTGATTCTCTACAGACAGTTCGCTTTTTGTTAAAGGTTGTAATCTATAGAGCAATCTACTTCTATGGAAACGAAAAATAAAAAGAAGTAAAGAAAACTGAGAAAGATAGAAAAAGTGATATTAAAGATAGGAAAAGTGAATTTAACTCTCTTTGGTTGATTATATATTTTTACATTGAATACGATCATCTTTTGATGCTCAAAATATTTTGCTCAACCCGTGTTTGGGCATGACAATTTTTGCCTGTTAATGAAATGAGTTGTAAGACTGAAAAGGATGTATTTATTTGTCAAGCACAATTTCGTTTAATTTCATTTATCAATCAAATTATGAATTGAAGATCTGGGAATCAGTTCATCGTCGAACGGTTCCATGTTCCAAACCAGATGGTGTCGATGTGTTAGCAACTTTGCATAAAGACGGCAAAAAATATTTTATTCTCATCAAACAGTATCGAATGCCTATGGCTGGCATGTGCTTGGAATTTCCAGCTGGTTAATACAATAATTTTGGATATTTTCTTTTTTCTTGCTATAATGACTCAAAGACATGATGTTACTAATTTCAAAATTCTCTGTTACTATATTCTCATACAAATTTTTTCAAACTTGATGGTTTTTTTGTTCAATTTTAAACAAAGCCAGTTTTTGGTTCAGGTTTAATCGATGAAGGAGAGACTGTTGAGGCTGCAGGTCTACGTGAATTGAAAGAAGAAACAGGTTATACCGCTACAAAGGTCTGTGTGGTCGTTCTTTATTAATCGAATTCTTTTATGGAATAGTATTTTTTCAGATTGCAGTTTTCTTCATATTTTTTCTTTATTTCTTTCGTAGATCTTATCATGCACAAAAGGTAAACAGAGCTTAAGCCCTGGTCTTACGGATGAAAGTGTTAATTTTATGATGGTCGAAGTTGACGGTAATGCACCAGAGAATAAAAATCCAAAACAAAAGCTGGATGATGGTGAAATCATTGAGGTATATCATTTCTTTTTCTTTTTAAATATATATTTAGAAAAGTATCTTTCTCTTTAAATAAAAGGACATACGAAACCGAACGTTTTGGCATTGATTATTAAAGGAAAATGAACATCATTTTCTTTCTGAAGAGAACATTTGCAGTGTTATAGCATTAACAGTAGAAGGTGCATTGAATGGCAAGAATTATCGTAACAGCTTGTCAATCTTTATGTTTTCTATTTAATTCATCTGAAAAATTCAAACTCGTTCTTTTCAGGTTGTACTCGTTGAATGTGACAGGTTGTTGCCATATGTTGAACTAATTTGTAGTGAAGTTTATGTGGAATCGATAGTCTATGCATTTGCTTTGGGTATGAATTACGCGCAGCATTTTATGTGAGATTCACTTATTTTAATTCACTGTAAAGAAGATCAGACCACGGTCGATATTTTTATTCAATATTGGGCTATGAATTGCCTAAAATTTTGTTTGTGCCTATTCATTATGCAATTTTATACAAGAATTAAAGCCTCCGCTGAAATATCAGGTTTTCAACAAATGCTTTACAATA